GGTAGCTACCGAGACATTATCACTCAAATTTGTAAAGAACTTAGCCATGGTCTTTGTTTTGATAATTGTCTAAATTTTTTTGAACCTTAAACAAGATATATCAATAACTACCTATCTAAATTGATGAAGTTTTTTTTATTTAATTCTATAGATCAATAGAATTAAAACAAAATAAATTTAATTGATTTTGGATAGATAGTTATTGAGATATCATCGCTCAAATTTGTAAAGAACCGCAGTCTTTGTTTTGATTTGATAATTGTCTAAATTTTTTTTAAGCTTTAAATGAGGATATCTCGGTAACTACCTATTTAAAGTTGATGAATTTTTTATTTTTTTTTTAATTCTATGGATCAATAGAATTAAAATAAAAAATTTTTTATTGATTTTGAATAGGTAATTATCGAAGTATTATTAAATTTAGCTATGGTCTTTTTTTGATAATTATCTAAAATTTTTTTTGAACTTTAAGCAAGGATATCTCGATAACTATCTAAAATCGATAAAGTTTTTTTTTTATTTGATTCTATAAACCTATAGAATTAAACTAAAAAATTTTCATTGATTTTGAATAGGTAGTTATCGAGATATTCTTGTTTAAAGTTCAAAAAATTTAGATGATTATCAAAACAAAGACTATGGCTAAGTTCTTTACAAATTTGAGTGATATTTCGATAACTATCTATCCAAAATTAATAAAAATTTTTTATTATAATTCAATTGATTCATAGAATCAGAATAAAAAAAAAAATTTATCGATTTTAGATAGGTAGTTATTGAGATATCCTTTTTAAAGTTCAAAAAAAAAAAAAAATTTAAACAAAACAAAAGATATGTCTGTTCTTTCCAAACTTTGAGCAGTAACTACCTATTAAAAACTGACGAAATTTTTTGTTTTAATTCCATGAGTTCATAATACTGTTATTGTATTGAAGATCGTTAATTTCACCCAATCAGAGCGTAATAGTTCAAGTAGAATCTCACATGTTTGACACTTTTTTTCAGCCCAATCAAAATGTCAAAACAAGAAGAACATTTTTAATTAGGCTACTTTCTAATTAAAATTTAGAGCTATTCTCATTTTTTTAAAAAAAGTGGCCTTGCTTCGTTACACCTGATCCTGGCTAATATTATAAGGCCGAGGATCTTCAAAATTTTGGCCCGCATTATATAATTGTTTGCTAATTTCCGGCCGGAATTAACTTTTTGCACTGTAGTAATTCCGGCCTAATTTTTTGATCGTCGCTCTTAGCCAATCAAAATCGAGGATCTGCCGCAAGCGAGCCTGCTCATGCGCTGGGAGTTTAAGGTTTATTGGTTGACAAGAGTGTTCTTCCATAAATTTTCGTATAAACCTAACTATACCAAGCGTGTCGAATATACATACAGACCTAACTATACCAAGCGTGTCGAATATACATACAGACGAAAATTGCTGTACTGATGTTCTAAAGATCTGTAAAAACATATGTTACATGTAAAAGAAATTTTTACGTATAACAGAAATCACTAACTTTGGATGCTCTCAAGCACCTCACCCAATGAATCAGAGGTAAATTTTTTAATTAGTGTTCTCAAGTACCTTACTCATAAGGGTTGGGCCCGTTCAAAAAAAACTGTAACCGGGTTAACCGTCGGTTAGACTTCTTGGGTTATCTGAGTTATCCGGGTAAACAAATAAGATCACGATTTGTTCTTTTGTCTATGGTATTGTTGCTCGGGTAATTATCTGGTTAATCTACCTGGATAACAAATATCTTAGCCGGATATCTGTTGTATCCGCGAGTTACCCGGGTAGCCTTTACACGGTCCAACCCTTACTCACTCAATGGCCATTTCGATGAACAGGTCAGCGAGCTACAAACCATCTTTTTTTCTTCAAAATTTATTATTGATAAAGATCGCTCAAGTATTACTTTTGCATTTTTTACACGATAAACAATGAATTCTCAACAAAAAATAGATAATCTATTTTAATGCTCGAAGCTTTTAAAGCAAATAATCGATATCTTTATAAGAACGTAATAAATGCAACCCATCTTTTAGCCTTTAATCAAACAATAATGAATAATACTTTTCATTTTTCGTTCACTAAATTTAATAATTTTTCGGCAAAGATGACCCAAAAATTGAAGGATTTTGGGCTGATATTTTCTATACTTAACGGATAATGAAGGCTATAACTTTTTTCAAGAAAATATTTTCGTGCGTATTACCTATCTGCTATGATAATTTTAGTGCGAAATACGTACGTAGCATATGCAGAATTACTATAAAAAGAAATTTTTAAAAAATTTACTTGTTTTCACAAGCAATTTTCGTTAACGACTCCGTAAGTTGATTCTGTTACTATTGTAACAAAAATTTAATTGGTAAAATCATTAAGAAGTGAAGCCAGTGAAACTGAAGTTGAAGCTTCGACAGATGGTTGAATAAAAAATTTTATTATTAGGTGTTTAGGAGGCGTAGAGAAGATTATACGTAAAAAATAAAAAGAGTACGCTCAAGCATTAATGTCATCATTGATTACCATGATTATTATTTAATTAATTGATTGAGATGCTTGAGAATACCGGTACCCTTACTGAAAAATCAGCTAAAAAATCATTCAGCAAATTTAAGCGTTTCAGAAATTATGAATCGGCCGTAAAGTGTAATGGCGAAAATGATAAAAAAATTTATCAGTCAGTTTTGGCATAAATTGTCTATATTTTCATTCATGTATAACTCTAGAAACATCAATTACCAAAATTTCAATCAAACAAATTAAGGCAATAATGGTTATTATTTAGTCGAATCATTTTCTAAATTGGTAATTTCATAGTATGCAAATTGAGAGATTTTTTTTTCTTTTGTTCCCCTTTTTTAATCACCATTTACTGTCATCACATATATATTCAATAGCTGTTCGACAAGCGAAAAAATTTGATCGTTATTTCGCTAGCGCAGCGCAGCTTCGAAGCGCCGCTCTTAATAGAGATATAGAGAGATATATAGAGAGATATATATAGTACGTATAATAGAGTATCTTACAATCGGTTGAAATTTGTGAACCCAAAATTACCAAAAGAAGCCAGAAAAGTAATTCAGCATAACACCAAACACTAACAATTATTTCTAAGCGACTAATAAATAACTAATACGTAATACGTAATAATCATGCAGAATACATACGTAGTACTTAATAAAACCGATATTACTAACACTAATATTAACATTTCCATACTAATTTATAATATCGCCTTTATTGGATTTTTCCATACTCTTTTTGCTCAACGTTAACAACATAACAATATTTTGAGCGTAACGACAAAAAATTGGTGTTAATGCATGGAGTTAGCAACCATCTTTTTATTTATTTATTATTATTATTATTATTATTATTTTGTTAGGTTAAATCGCAAAAAGAAATTCCCTTTGTGCTTCGTTACAGCCTAGTTCTATTTCGCAAGACCATTCAAGAATCAGAATCATCAGATAACTATTGGAAGTAACTTCAAAGTATTTTTTTTTATTGTTGAATTAATAAATAGTTTCGTATTTTACAAGTGATTCAGTCATACAAAATGAAGAAAGTGATGATTTTTCGGTTGAACAGAATAAAGAAGCTGATGGTTTTTCGATTGAGCAAAATGAGAGGTTAGCATTTTCTTGCAAGAAATCAAAATGATCACCTTCAAGTCGAATTTGTCAAACGGCGTAAGTTGAGTGAGCTAAACTTACGCTTAACTTACTATTATTACTTACGTAAGTTACAGTAATTTACATGTAAGTTACATGTAAGTTACTGTAACTTACATGTAAATTATCAGATAAGTTTTAACAACCTTAACTCTATAACACCAGAGCCTTTTTTTTAATTTTACTTATTCTAACGTGAAATTAACTACAAAAAACACTGTTAAAATTAGTAAAATGAAAAAGGGTTCTGTAGCATGCTAAATGAAATTAAAAATCATAGTTTCACCTATTACATATAATAAATGATCGGCAGTATGATATATATCGCATGACATGCAAAAAAAACATACGGTAAATGTTAATTTATTAACTCATAAACCATTTGATAAAAAAATACCAAAAAACAATAATAAACTAAATATTTGTAAGAATAATATCAACCATACTTGTAAAACCATTTAATAAAAAAATACCAAAAACAATAACAAACTAAATATTTGTAAACTATACATTTAATAAAAAAATAAATACACAAACCAATAAATACTTGTAAAAATAATATCAAATGTACAAACCAAATAAATAAAATAATATCATAAAAAACATTATGTACAAACTAAATACTTGCTAAAATAATAACAAACCCAAAGTAATATAAGATATTAGTTTGTAAAATTTTGCTAAAATTTTGGTAAAGGTATCAACATATTATCAACAAACATCCCAAGCGATACCTCGAAACTATTTAATATATGAGACGTTTCAAATTCGAGAGACTTATTTCCTTATATATAGTGCTGCCAAGAGAAAAATGAAACTTCTGGCTTTCAATCCGATCATTATTATTTAGGTCAGTCAGCTAGTACATGTTACGATTATAATCCAACATCAGTTTTTATTATAAAAAAATGATGTTGGATTATAATCGTAACATGCACTAGCTGACTGATCAAGTATTGTAAAATAATTTTTTATGTGTTTCACACCGTGTGAAAAATCAGTTGTGTAACTTCAACGTTTCCTCCTGTTTTATTTATCAACACTTTGTAACTTTGAAACGTAGTCGTATATCATAGGATCGGACTTTCAAGATATATTTTAGCTGTCTTTGGAAAGTTTATCACACAAAATATAATTGAAAGTCCGACCGGTCTTTTTCCCTTGGCAGCACTAAATGATAAACTTGAAAACTCGAAGTCACAATTTCCTTTGGCAGCACTCACTGTATGCTAAAAGCGGATAACAAGAAAAAACAAGTATTGATTCGAAAGTTCTTTAGTTAAAAGAGTTAATTAAAAATAAATTAAATACGTTCTGTGCTAATATTTTGTGCAATTATAAACAATAATATAATTGTCCCTAGGACATCCCCATTCCAGATCCATCCGTTCTCCTTGTCGACCATAATCACGTGGAACCCAAGACAACGCTATGCTTAATTTTTTACCCATGTCCGTAACCTTACTGTATATAGCATAAATTCACGGAGCACTTCGAAATCAATTATGCTATTTTTAAAAAGTTTATGCTTCGAAATAAATACGTATAATCAAATTTGCTTATTGATTATACGTAGCAATAAAAATTATGGCAATATTATGTATCGATTCTTCATAGTATACGTATTAGACGTTTTGATGTTTTGGAATAGCTTTATTAACTCGATATAGATTCAACCCCATAGGTATATCCTTTATGGGAATATAGAAGAATTTTCCAAACATGTGCATTATCAAATTCTATGAGGGTTGAAGGGCTTACATAGTGCGTGCATTACAGAGGAAATAATGCAAGAAGAGCTTAAAGACTGAAAGAAATGAAAAATTAATACAATAATAAATCATGGCGCATCAATGATGCAAAGAAAGGAAGCCATCAAATCGGCTTACTATAACTTAATAGTTTTCTTTGAAAAATTTTTTTTTAACTTTCGTAACTTTAAAAGCAAGGTATTGCAGAAAGATTTTAATAACCAATCAAAAAGCATTAAAATGTTAAAATTTTTAATTTCAAAAATGTTCTGTTTGACCTATCAAAGATGTTACTAATTTTTATCTTAATAAAAGTTTCTCGCGTAATTTTACTACACGCATGTGGTGTATTTCATATGAACGGATAATCGGTTGTGTAAATTGTATGCGTACATACACATGTACTGTACGTACAATAAACAATAATATTTTTGTTACTCAACACCAGAGGATTTCCAAAATTTGATGTCGAATAGAGAAATAAATTGATGTTCTTGATGTTCTTAAGGCATTTCATTAAGAAGTATTAAGAAAATTAGAAATGAGAAAGTCTCCGGTAGGTGTTAAAGAACTATAGTATTTCATAAAAACCAGTTAAAAATAGATTATTGAATGCATAATATGCGCATTCTATGTATGCACATAATATTCGTTCGTACGTATACGATTTTAACTATCGGACCGTGTTATTATGCATTTCCAATTAAAGGTCACCAAAATATTCGCTATTAGTAAATTTTAAGACCAATTGGTATTAGGTTACAAGATTTTCGCATCTAACATTAAAAATTTAATTAATTTTCTCAAACCTCTGAATATCATCGTGAGTTTGTATACTAATGATCATTTGAATCAAAACTTTGCCACAGATTCTCATTTAAATTGTACCACTATTAATTTATTGAACATCTATTTTGGAAAACATGGATACTTTGTTCCCCGTTCCGTTGTGCAAAAAAAGTATTTGTTGATTCGATCAGGTTACTAATAACCGTGAAAACAAGAACACACGATTAATTTATTTATTAACTATTAAGTAAATTTCATAAAGAAATTAATTGCCTAGATAAAGTTTGAGGTTTAAAAAGCGGAGCTTATGTAACAGTTTAACAAACATTATGGCTAAAATTTGGGCGGTAAATTACCTCCCCCACCCCCTAAATTTGATTACTATCTAAGATAGGTTTAGAATATTCTTGTGTTTTTTCTCATTCTTCATTTTTCGGCTTCTTCGCATAAATTTTCCATAAAAAAAATTCTTTGAGCTTAAGAACCAATTAATTCAATTAATTTCCGAATTCAATTTTGAATCGAATGAGTTTTGCATTCGAAATTATTGTCACTCAAACCTTGTTCCAAATTTAGATCTATTGGTATAATAGGTAACCATGCTAAATCCGATATTACTGGATTTGATTACGCATAATATATATGCATTGATTTATGTTCGGCATATTTGGCGTTTAAAGACAATATAGTATAGAGTAACTTGTATTCCTTTAGTTCATTCTAATTTTACCTAATTTAGATTATTGTACAACTATAATATTATTCTTTAATTTTACCGGGAATTAAATCTGTAATGAAAAACTTACGATTATCTTTTCTTTGGCTATGCGCAATGTTATGCTATGTAAGCATACAATAATACTTTTTCGGTGAAAACCCCTATTAGAACCAATGCACTGCTTTGTTTTTTTTTGTTTTTGTTATTTTGCTAAATTTGTTCAATGATAGATTTTCGGTTAGCTAATATGAGATGGTAATGCAAAGAAAAAAAAATAAACCCGAAAAAAATCATGCCAATATGCAAGCAATACATTGCAATATACATTGAATCACCAGTCGGAAACTTAATTGGCTGATAAACTTATAACGGTATTCTTGTTTCAATGGTTCTTCTAAATCACAGACACTAATGTTTCCTTAATAAGGCAAAAAAATGTCGGACCAAGAACGCAATGCATTTATAGTGTGGTACCTTATTTTTATCAGAAAGGAATTTCAAGAAACGAGAAACGTGTCACGATATTTTGACCACATGTAATATTCCAATTCATGCTATGAAGGAGGAGATTGTTTTTATTAAATTATCTAAACATCGAATCGGATTATCAGATTCAATATGTGTACATTGAAAATTAATGCATCTTTATTAACATTGTCAACAAATTCACTTGAACTATGAAAAATATTAAGAAATTTTGATTCTTACATAAAGTCAAAAAAAGATATAAATAACATGGATTTCTCCCCGTTAATTCTTGGCTTCATTAATTCCCTCTAATTCATTAAAATCCTATTCTTTCCTTCTCTCCTCTCCCTTACTCCTCTTTAATTATTCCTCCCTTTTCCAACGCAATTATTTCATTGACGATTACTTTTCCAACACTTTCGTTTCTCGACATCTTCGATCTCTCACCTACGCTATCTTCGTTACAATGTGCAATTCCATAATTATTAGTTACATGCTCTTCATGCTAATCTCCTATACTCAGGCAATTAATCGAATAAAAATAGATCTGAATTAACAAGAATAAATAAAGCCTAAAATTAGATGAATAAAGAAATATTCATGAACTTGACTAGCTTATTTTTTAATTATATATTTAGATCTATAAATATTCTTTATAAGCGCTTGTAAATTGTCACAGGTGATGCTAAAATTAAAAACTAAGTTTGGATTAGGATTCATGATTAAAATTTATAAAGAGTATTTCCAAATTAAGGCCTCCAGATTTTAGATTTCAGCATCGTCCGTGATATATTCCCTCTATAAATGTACGCCCTCCCTAAATGAACATTTTTAAAAATTTGTCCCGAGGGGGTGCACTTAGAGGTTTGACTGTATAACACAAAATACAGTAAAAATTTAAATGTTTTACTTCTAGAGAAAGTCAAATTTTTTTGAATCTGTTATTTAAAGTAATAATCTATTTTTATATAGTTTAACTACTTTGTTAAATCCTATTAGAAATATTTTTAAATTACTGTTCTTATTTATTATTACTTTTATAGAGTTTTAGTACTTATTTTACAATTTAGTCAATGTGTAATCATTGCAAAAATAATATTTGAAAAGTAATCAGTAATTTATTCTTTAATTGCGGCACATTGGATGGCTACATAAGATTTTTAGTCACCCTGATTAGTGATGTCCAATGGAAACTATCTAGTTGGGGGAAAATTAGTCAGTGAAACGTATTGTCGGTGAAATAAGCTTGTCGGTGTAATGATTGTCTGTGAATCAATTGTCGGTAAACTAAACACGTCGGTGAATTACAGCTGTTTTCATAAATCCTGGGACACCCTAAAAAAATTTGCCGAAGTCTATTCGGCCGAATCCAATAAGTTATTGATTTCGGTATGATTAGTGCGTGATCAGTATATAAAAATATTACATTCGCAATGTCAACTCTTTCAACACTTTATTAAAATTTTTTATTTTACCTTATCCAATATGTACGATACAAAAATTTATGCCAAAAATTGTTCTTGCCAATTAATAGATCTTCACTAAACATTAGTTGGACTTTCTTAATAATAAACATATAGCAGCTTAGAATTTAAATAATCTATAAATAAACCCAAAATTTTATGCTTCAATTTCGTTTTGCGAATCTTTTTATTATATAATTATCTTTGGATAGCAAACTTGTTTATTAAATACAATACAAAATCAAAGAAAATTTTGTAAATCTGACTTTTTAATATGTAACACTCCATATTACTCGAGTAGGCACTAATAAAAAAAAAGGTTAAATACGATCAGAGGTTATAAACTGGTTCTAAAAAAATGCAACGCAAGTTGAAATTAGAGGTCAAGATTTTATTAATATTTGCCGACGATGTCTTAA